GATCGGAGCCTCGGATGGTGTGCCATACCCTAAGCTTGGCTGCTTCGCTGCTCGGCATTGGCACACCAAACCCTTCCCCTCCGCGGATGGGACCCGGCGTCGTGACGGTTGGCTCCAAGAAGCATGTCTTGGGCCGCCGGCGGTTGCTGGGAGAGGAGGCTTGTCAAGCTTCTCCCTCTCCAATCTTTTTGCCCCTCATCCGCACCAAACTCCAGCAAATAAGCCACCATTTGCCACCGGTGCTCCGTAATTGCTTGGTGCAAGGGAAACCTCAGATCAACTCTCCATCAAGGAGGTCCAGGATACATCATGTTGGCACGTGTGACATGGTCGAAGAATGGAGTCACAGCATGGTTGCAGCCATGATTGAGGGTCTTGCCTGGACCACTGTTTCCATTTTTTACATAAACCTTTTCATGTTTGCCTTTGACAGGTCACATCTCATAGTGAGCTTGGTTGACGGAATGTGGACAGGTCTCAGCTGAGCTGAAGACCTGGACCTGGATCCCAATCTGGAAGGATGCGTCACGTGGTTCTGCGGAGCAACACATAATTGATTGAATTGATTGGCCAATGTCCAGCATAGGATTCTATTTTGGGGTCAGCCTGAGTCAGCCTTGGTTGGAGAAAATGTGCAAACACTGGTGCATCTCAGCATCTCTGCATTCTCATGCTGGAACACATGTGGATCACACACTCAATTCTGGTGAGAAAAGTGACCTGGACAATCAGAATCAAACCCAGACACTCCATGTATGCCATATATGCCTACATTGACCCCCAAAACCACCCCAATGTAGGCATACATGGCATACATGGAGTGTCTGGGAAATCATGTTGTGGTAGTCTCTGCCAACTAAAGACGCAACAAGCTGGTGCGCGGCCGGGAAGGCACACGATCGCCTCTCCCCAACGGAAAGCGATGTCCACTGGAGGGGGGAGGTCCAAGCTCGCGTCCATTCCAAAGCTGGTTGGGATTGGTTGGATGACTGATGGAAAGTCTGTTTTCGAACATGGCCTGAGAGTCCAAAGACTCTACGAATAAATGTATAATATAACACATACCGTAAATGACCCGAGTCAAGGACATGTCCTTCGATCGGACATGCGATGTTCACCCTTCGGTTCGGTGCGCACGTCCTGCGGGGCGAACATCGATGGAAAACATTGGTAGCTTCGAATGTGGATGTTGCAGGGAAATAGGACAACATACGCTATAGCTGCTCTAGCCGCTAGCCATCCGGAACCATGGCATATGTAGGGTAAGCATTGTGAAGGAATTCTGACCCCTCTTTGTTACTAATACCTGGACCTTCGAAACAGCAAACATCATTGCCGCTTCGAAAACATGCTGTTACGGCACATGTTTCCAATGACGGCGTTATTGAAACCGGCAGAATCCAAAGAGAAACGTCATTTTTTGGCTTCCAAACAGCGTCTTTCCTGATTTTGAGCACATGTTTGCAAACCCTAAAACGGTAATAATATGTTGATGATAGTCCTGGAAAATGCCTCCGATAAAAACCTGTGCCGTTTGAAGATTCAGGTTTAATAGATGTGTCACCACCGCTTCACAACGAATACTGCAGTTCGACTGCTCATGAAAAACACGTCGCAGCAAACGATGTCACGTCCGCTGCGCAAATGCAAACACCGTGTCCGACTGGTTTCTTGACCAACTGGCTGTGCATTCAAACGTGTTCAATTAGGAGGCCAACTCCCTGGTCTCACAGCAAGCGGGCCTTCAAGGGGTGGTTAATGAACACCCCTTAACAGCTAAGGGGCTATAAATAGACACCCCTTGGAGGGTCCTGCTAAACCAGCCTACCCAGTCTACAAGGAGGTCTCCCGGGGCCTCCTTAACCCCTCAGCTCCGAGGGGCTTGGACGTCAGTCCGCACCAGGAGAGCTTGGGCCGGTTCACATCGTCACTGAAGCCGTGCAAGCGGAGGAAGCTGATCACTTGTCGAGCTCGATGGATCTGGTCACGCCTCCGGCGGACGGCTTCGAAGATCGGGGCGGAGGCGGAAAAACACCGAAGTGGGCCGAGGTGACCCCAGTGGTAGTTGTTTTGGTTGGAGTGGGTATGTTGACGTGTTGAGCGGCAATGATGTTGGCTTGACCAAAGCTGCCAAGCTATGTGAGGTCAGTCGTGCATAGCAACATGAAGCATCTGGAGCGAGTGAAGTCCCCAGTTTGTGGATGGAGCGTATTATTAATGGGGTGACTGCTGGTACCTTCACGCATTTTTGTAACTCACACCGTGAGTTGAACTCCGCAGCCCGAGGCCCTCGTGGCTGAGTTCCGACCCTTGCCAGCGAGGTGAATCACGGCGGCATTGGCTCGGACCCCACACTCCGCTGACCCTTCGGCACCTCTCTTGCTTCCGCTCCTCGCGCTGAGCATGGGCCAGCCGATGCTCACGCCTGCGGCGTCCGTGCCGCGACGGAAGGCCGGAAAGCAGGAGGATGGAGCAGCGGGCCTGACTGAGACTCTCGTTTTCACTGAGAACTACCTGGCGTTGGGCATCGAGTTTTGATACTTCTTTGGTGTGGTGCCTTGCTGGCTTTAGAATGCTTTTGATTCTCAGGTGCCTCAAGCCTGCTAAGTGGGGAGGACAAATCAGCTACCAGGTTTCTGCAGGGTTTACCTGAACTCACCTCGTCAGCACCTTTCTGCCTTCCCTGCACCCGCGGGTGTCGCCGCCGCAGCTGACTGGCTCCACCCGTCCCGTTTCCATGGTGAGCATGCCGAGCTTCTGCGCACTGTGGCGGCGTGCTAAGGGGTGTTCTTCACAGTTCTGTTAGAATCACATTTTTTTTGGAGCAATCCTGGAATTTTACTTTAAACACGCTACCCCGGATAGGGGTGGTTACATAATGGGTACCCCGAATCACCCCAAAGGAGCTATAATTAGGCAATTCTTGAAGGGCCCTGGTAGACCTCTCTCAGTGTCAGGCGTAGCAATCGAAAACCGTCTCCAGATTTGATCCTTACTCTGGTCATCTCCGGTCCCTCCCAAGCTTCAAATTTGCTGGGACGCACGGTCGAACTCATGCGAGACCATCCTCTAAATGACTCAAGTTAACAAACCAGCAAGACATTGTCGTGGTCATGTCCAACATCGGAGGGTTCGGGTAGCAACTAGCATTCCCAAAAAGAACATGACACCACCTAAGAAACGACAAATCCACGGTGGGTAGCCTAGTCCGAGATTGAAGAATTTGCTCGGCAGTGCAGCTGTGGAAATCATCCTCGCCCACTAGCTTCAATCGGCCACCAACCTGCTCCTCAGTGCGCTTGTAGCAACACCCAAACAGATAGCACTGTGAAACCTGCTGAAACCTGCATCCCAAACACTTCATGTAGGGAATACCTTACATTGACCCCCGAGACCAATGGTAAAAGCATGCCGGTGCCAGAATAGAGTGTCTAGATATGGAAGGCCTAATGTACTCGGCGCAAATGACCCGCCCAGTTTGTCACGTGGCGTCGAGTGCCCTATTGAGTGGCGCAATGGCAAAGGCTACGACTGTTCACACCATGGTCTTCAAGCCAGCAGTGTGGATAATTGGCATAAGAGCGGTGACTATCATAACCCAAGCTATAGCTATGTCGGCTATGTGGATGTTGGAGTGCCTCAACATGGGTCCAAACCGCCCTCGGCCACTCGGTCGACAAGTCAAGATTGTCTAGGGTTCTGCCATGCAACAATCAGCAACACCTACATGTTTGACCCCTGGCAACAAGAATTGGTGAGTTGACTGCGCTTCTCTTGTCCACCACCTAGCGAAAAGTACCTCATGCAAGAAACAATTGCTGAAGCAATTCATAATAGTCATAGGCTCTACATGGCACAGTCTGTACCCTCAAGACCTTTGTTTTTCTTTGTGGGCCCGATTCTCTGGGGAACATGTAGCAAGTGCTGAATAATGAACCTAGAACCTGATTGACCCCTGTTTTGGAGCCAAAACATTGTTTTTCTATCAAAACAGTGGTCAAATGGGTTCTAGGTAGATGTAGATTAATGTAGATCAATCGGGTGAGCTTAGGGAACGATTGGACAGGGAAAGTATCTTCACTAATGCTCAACATCTTGGGCACAACTCAATCCGTACTTGCTATCCCTCCCAACCCTCGCTTTGAACATATCGCTACAGAACCACTGCAAAAGCCGCGCTGACCGCTGCGAGACACACTCATACTCATACACTCCAATTCTACTCAGTAAGAATACTACCCATACCAGCACCTGCCACCTGCAGGTCCAATTGGAAATGAACATGGGAGCCCCACCCCACCATAGCTCGCTGTGGCGTCAAATTGGAAGTTTCGCTGCGGCGACTTCTGGCAGCTCATGTCCGGTATCCGGCCGTCCCTCTCCGCGGAGCTGCGCTGGAGCCGGAGACGATCCATCGGTCCAAGGAGTCGGTGCATCGGTCGGGTCCCAAACACGGTGCATCCGTGGGGCTGGCATAGTGACCTACATGGTGGTTCAAAAGGATTCAATGCAAGGCGTTGAACACATGTCTGCGTCTGGGTTCCCAACGCCAACGAAGGACGGCGGAGTTCGGAAGCATGATTCCACAAAGGTGGCTGCCTAGAGTGTTGTAGTGAGTGCGGTTCTTCGCATGTTTTTGATTTTTTTAGGTAATAGCTGACCTGGAGTTCCCGCAACCCACAAGTCAGCTGACCAAGGAACACGACCCCCCGTGTGCTGCGCAAACCACCTGTGTGCCACCGGGTCATCAGGCCAGTCTCAGCGATACATCCGAACGACTGGTTGGTCACCTCAGATCACCGCTTAGATCACCCCGCTAATCCCTGCTAGTTGCTGAAACCTAGCGATACATGAAGAAACCGGCAACTTGGCCAACCACTTAGGTCCTCTCTTAGTTCCTACCACTTTAGGTGGTTCCCTCTCTTAGGACCGGATTTCTACCACTTCGGTCCTCTCTTACGAGACCACTTGGTCCTCTCCCCGGCTCTTCACCGAGCCACTGATGTTTTCGAAGGGTCGGCCAGACATCTGGACATAGCGCTCGTCCGCATGCTGCACCATCACCACGGTCCCCGGCACCTTGAAAGAGCCGAGCACCGCGGAGGGAGGGCGCGGGGCGCGAGTCGAGTCACAGCTGGAAAACAGCTTCGAACAGCTTTCAACTCGTAGCAAAAAACGACTATATAGGTTGGAGGCCGCTAGTAGGTTGGAGGCCATTACTACATCCCTACTGATTACCTAGGGGGGCGTCACCTAATTGTAAGTTACAGTAACTTACAAATACTAATTTACCTGAAAAATTGCAACTGACAATTTTGCGGCGTCTAAATAGGCAAGACATCCAATAGGCCAGAAACAGGTAATTTACATGCATGAGAAAATGTAAGTTACATTCTAGAGGTTTCATTGAATGATATCGCACGTCTCAACATGTCAAAGCTGAATCAACAGTTATATAATTTTTCTGTGCAGGGGTGGGAGGCAGTAAGTTATAAAAATAACAAATATAACAGTAGTCCAAGATAGTCCAAGAATGCAATGCGAGGAGGTTTCGTTTCGCACATCAATTGAAAACATGAACCCAAACATGTGCCAACTTGCGCATGCATGCATGCGTTGTTGCATCCTCGGGATTAGTCACATCTGACTCAAATATCATCGGACTACTCATCGGATTAATTGATCACGTGTTCATCTCACGACCCCCCCACCGATCAGCATCCAACGCGGCTGAGAAACCACAACCCAATGTTTGAATTGCGGATGGCTCACTTTGCCGGACCTCAGTCACGAAATCGGCGTGCCTCACTGCCAAGCACAGGTCGGCTCTCCAGTTGACAAGGTGATTCACACCTTGCGGTCGGCTCTGTGGTAAAAAACAGGCCGCGCAGCTGCGTGATCCTCGGGCCTGCCCGTGATTTTTATGCGTGTCGCGAACATGACCACCACCCACACGCACGACACCCCGCCCCAAGGTGCACCACAGCACTAGCTGCGCTTGCTGTATGTTGCTGTGAGCTGCGGCCACGAAACAAATGTTCCACGGCAGATTTGGAAGCGGCGCTGAAGGTGGAGCTTCCAATCCGATATGCCCCCTTTTGTCCACGCCAATAAAACCTAAGCTCGTGAAACACCATGCAAACATATGCAAACATCACAAATCCGCAGAATTATAATGATTAAGCCGCCATACAGTAATGTTGCTTTGAACGGTCCCGTTTTCACAACGAATCATCAAAATTGGAATGTTGCAGCCCCCTCCCCGCATTACCGGTCAAACGTTGCCGGGCAACTCGGGTGCCAAAAAGATCTTGAGCGTAGTGGGGCTTCGGTCACAATGTTCGGAGGCGTAAGCGCGGTCCAACACTTCTGACATGATGCGCAGTCGATGTTCCGTGTCCTTAGTGGCCATGGTGATTTCACACCTCAAGAAACACGAGCCATGAGCGAAACAACATACCTATCCGCCAGGTCATTTTAATTTTGGTGGTGGAATTCAAAACGACCAAAACAACGCAAAGTTTTGAAACTGCTCCAACCCCATACGATTTGCGCGCTAAAGCCTAAAGCCCTAAGCAATCCTAAGCACAACCACGCTACCCTCGAGTCATCACGGTGTTGGATTCCTACACAGGTGGACGTGGACCCCTGAACGGGCTTATCCCTTGCACTTTAACTTTACAAGTTCTTGCACCCTACCCTTCAAATTCATGGCGCGCACCCTCAGCGCACCAAATTTCAAAATGTTCAAAAATTATATTCAAACCCGCCAGGGTCTGCCGTTGTGAAAAAACAGGACCATGTTCGTTCCAAAAAATCAAACCTTGTTCACGTTCATCTGGCCAACGCGGGTTTGCATAAAATGACCCCTGTATGTGAGTACACAAATCACAGCCACAATCCTGCACCAACTGTCCCTGCTATAGGTGCAGCAGCCGGTCATTTCACAACCTCTTGTGCAGAAACGTGTGGTGGGTGGGTCCTTGTTTGATTGGGGAGGAGAACAAACGACAAAGGCGCATGTACCCATAATGGAACCAACAATTGTCAACAAAAAACATGTTTCCCGGCACCCGCACCACATACCAGTCAAAAAATGGCCGCGTGGCATTCGCCACCTCGGCGCTTCCCAAATAGCATGCGTCCAAATCCTCGCCTTTATCGAAGCAACCGTCGGCTTCGGTGCCAGGAGCTGTAAACCTCGATGCCGGTTTCGGGTGAGGCGGGCCATGTCCAAACCCGGGAAACATGCATGCATAGCGTAGACCGAATAGGTGGTAAACCCATACCGGTCGACCACACTATGCGCAGGAGAGGTACATCCTTAAGGTATTTTTTGAAATGGAACTTGCAACTGAGGAACTAGGGGAAGTTCAAAGAAGTCAGCTGTAACAAATGAGGCAAAATGTTACTGACCATTCTTGTGAGGAGTTTGCAAGCATAGAGCGCAGTCGAAGCACACATGAGTGAGGGACCATTGCCTGCCGGACTAGGCAGAGGTGTGTGTGCATGGAAGGAAGTCAGCACGTGTTGATTTGGAGTCCTATTTTTTGCAGCTGCAACTGCGGTGGTAGCAGGGTCTGAAGACACACGAAGTTCCCCAGAACGAAAGAGAGCGTGCGAGATCTCTCTTTTCCGCGGCCGATGCTGGAGCTCTTGAGTACCCGCCCTCTGCAGGTGAAAGGATTCGGAAAACATGAGTTGACAGCTGATCCTCAAGTGCATGGAGTGTACTTTACACTCTGGGAAAGGGAAAAACGAGAAAAGCTCAGCTGTCATCAGGCGGAACCAGCCCTGCTGCTTGCATCATTGGTGGCCAAGGTCCTGGCCAGCCATGCATCCACTGGAAAACGTGGTACTGGTTGTTGGTGCGATCCTCATAGTGGATGATGCCGTGATGCGTGAAGAACATGTGCAAGTCTTCATTCAGAGTTCGCCGGCTTTCAGCATGGTGAACGTCGGGTGGTACCGCTTGTGCGGCGCAGGTGGTGCAGTAGCTCACAGGTCGGACATTCAGCGCCTGTCGGTTTAGCACTGGACAGTCCGGATTGTGGTGCCAAACACGACCTCGCGAGGCCATGAACACTTCATCTCTCAGTGGGCAAGTTCGTGAGTGCTCCACCATCTCTCGCCAGCATCTCTGCAGGAGACCCTTGGCGTCCAGTAGTGTCTCACGATAGTGAGACTCAGCTGCTATGCGGCGATCTGCTTCTTCCTGGGGCGTGAGTGGAGGTCCGCTTTGGCGTCGTTGTTGTCTTAGCTCTTGTAGTTCCGAGCGAGCCTGGTCCAGTTCTTGAAGGACGAGCTCGTTGGCTATGCGTTGTTCACGCGCAGCCTTCTGGTTCTCAATGGCACGTTGCCGGTAGAGAATCATGGAATCCAGAGCTTCATCTCGGAGTTTCACTGCCTCTTGGACTGACTCTGTCAGGTTCTTCACGATGGGCGTGTTTCGCCTCCGCGTGAGCCAGTGGCCCAAAAAGCAGCTTGCTGCAGCAACAAAAACCATGACCAACCACCAGAGCCATCCAAGGTGTGGTGGCTTCTCGTCGCCATCGGCAGCGCATGCCGGCGGGAGTGCCGACATCAGCAGCAGCGCAAAAAGCGCACGTCCATGGCTAGGAGGCATGCTACCTACAGCGGGTCCGGCTACTTCAATTTCTTTGAGATTGGCAGACTGGGGAACCTCGAGTAGTGGTGGCTCCTGCTTCAAGGACGTGTGCTCGTCCATTGTGGCTTGTAGTGGAACTTGGTGTTGTGTTTGTGGGTTGTAGGTGGTTGTGTCATGTTGTACTGTGGTTGTGAACTCGTTTCGACTGCTCCATCGGCTTTCGAGCGGCTTCTTCTTTGCCGCGGTGTATGTTGGATCCCAAGTGTACTTGATGGATCCATGTCTGAGTCTGTCGGCCAGGAGCTGCCTTGCTGACAGCTTTGTCAGTCCGTCGCCGTACTGGCGTTCAGAACTGACCCATTTGAGTCTTCCGCCAAAACTCTCAACTTGTTGGCGGGTCACTTTCACTTCCAGGGCTGTGCGTTTGTCGTTGGAGCCATGGTTGAAGGCATCTCTATGGTAAGTGTCGTACAAAGCTTAGGCATCTGTAATCAGCACTGGTTGAAGTGAGCTCTCTGACCGGGCCAGGTTGGATTTCAACTCAAGTTGAGGGTTGAACAGCTCATTCCAAAAGCGAACAATGAACTCGACATTGTCTGCAGCAGCACTTGAGGCTTGGGCCTCAGCAGCCAGTGAACTTCTGGCGACCCTTGGAAGCTTCATGGACTTCCAGTCCAAGACATGGTAGGGTGTCTCTGCACCTTCGAAGGCTTCCTTGTGAGTCAGGAGGCAGATGAAACCGCCTTGGCTGCTGCCGTCATGTCTGACTCCGTGGGCTGCGTCGAACATGCAGCTGAGTCGGAGGTCTTGGATTGCGCCAAGAGGTGGATAGCGCAGGGTCACATCGCTGTTGTCCTTGGCAAATCTTAGGAGCTTGTTAGCTTCAAAAAGTGGTGCTGCCAGACCTGTGCTCAGTTCGCCTGAAAGGATTGAGGTGCTGGCCAAAAGGTGTGGGCTCGACTGAACTGCCGGCCATTGGAGGCTGCCCAAAAGACCTCTGAGCAAACTCTGCTCTTTTGGGGTCATTGGTGAGTGAGTTTGGCGGCCTTTCTCAATGGTCAAGGGCTTGACCTTTCCAAAGAACTTCTGGTGGCTCACAGTCCATGTGCCGTCAGTCGACCGAGACATGTCCGCACCACAGTATTCAAAAGACTCATCTTGCTGCCAGGTGCGGAAATTGAACATCTTCTTGATTTCGGTCTCCATGCGGCAGTAGACAGCTGAGTTTTTGTCACCGCCACCCAACATGTCATCTACATGTAAACAAAGAAGTCCTACCAACTTTGGTGTGGAGGCATCACCATCTTGCGGCTCAAACAATCTCCAAAAACAGGGGTCAAGGGAGTGTTGTTCCCAACCAAGCTGCTTAAGGCGTGAGCTGGCTTCCAAAAACCATCGACGAGGTGCGTCCAGTTGTCCGTACACTGGTTTGTGGAGAAACATTCTTGTGTTGGAGTCTGCGCCCAGCAATGCCAGTGCATCGGATGGCAACTTCACCCATAGCTTCCGTTCTTGTGGAAGGCCTTGCAAAAAGGCAGTTGAAACATCGGCAGACCATCCGGTCCATCCAAGGCAGCTGCTCAAACTCAGAAACAGATTTCTGCCGAGGCGAGTGGAAGCAGGTGAGGAGGTTTCGAGTGAACCTGCCAATGCATCAACGTCAGCGTATCCCCTCACCACGAGACGAGCTTTCGCTCGGGGACTGCCGTCGGCGTTCTTGCTCCATTTGAGCAGCATTCTGCTTGTGAGTGTCCTTTCGGGTGTGGCTTCCTTGGTGGTCTGAAAGCTCCACACTCCGTTTTCAAAAAAAGAAGACAACTCTTTTTGCTTGGCCTGTTGGAAGAGCAGGCGATGTTCCAGGGACAGTTCACGCTCCCGGATTTCACCCTTGTTTTTCTGCATCTTCTTGTTTGCCATAGCCTTTTGCTTTCGGCCCAACTGCTTGGCTGACTGGGTGTCATGGGTAGTCATGCCCATCTCCTTACGAGTGTCTCCGTTGATCTGGAAGATTGTGACACCAGTCCATGCTTTTCTGGTTGGGGTACCAGCTCCATTTTGCCAAACATCAGATTCCTGTTTGAGCTCTTGGCCTGTCTTCCGCACGGTGATGCGGATGGAGTCCAGCTTTTGCAGTTGCCGAAGGAGATGGTCTCTTGTTGGTCATATCGCCGTCTCATCAGCTCAAAACGCTCACCAGGTTGAGCTGGCTGGTACAGGGCCTCTGTGTCTGGGTCCAGCTGGGACGCTATGGATGGTTCTGGCTGGCCCTTGAGTGAGGCGGACTGGGTTCTCTGGACGGTTCGTTCAGAGAAGGTGGGTCCGGTTGGTTCTCTGGAACTGCTGGTAGTGCCTCAAGTGGTAATGCAAGTGGCGCCGGACTTGTGGTTGGTGGAGCCTGTTGTTCTGGTTCAACCCCTTGCTGACTGTGCGCAGGGGATGTAGGGGCGTACTCCAAATCCGGTTCGGACTGTATTGGTTCATCATCTGGTGCAGGCTTAGTGGCGTCATTGAGCGCAGGTGCTACAGCTTGTGGTGAACCAATTGGTGCTTCAAGTCGGCGTCTTTGCACAGGAGGCTGCAAGTCTTCCTCTTCTTCTTCCATTTCTTGTTCAATCTCCTCCTCTTCCGACTCTAAGTCTTCGATGCGACGTCGATTGGCCACATTGAGATCCAAAAGTCTGGTGACTCCTCTGCTCTTCAGCTCTGACATAGCCTTCTTTGCTTCTTGGATGCCGTTGATCAGGGTGTCAGTCTCCTTCTCCAAGGCTGGTCGCATGTGATGAGGTGCACAACGGAGCAACTGGGTCTTGTGGCTGATCCAGTAGAGAGAAGGTTTGCCATCGTCACCGTCTTCTCGCATCAAGACTCTTGCAGGGCCTTTCCATCTGACCTTGACTAGGTCAGCCGCTCTGGCATCTCGCCAGTAGTAGCAAAGTTGACCAGGCTGGAAAACAATGCTGGTGCCGAAATACTTTCGGAGGAGGCCTCGCCGAAGACGGCGATCGATGTCTGTCTGCACAATGGCCATGCGAGCAGTTGCTCGCTTTTGCAGCTCATCTTCAAAGCCCTTGGAGCCTTCTAGGTGAAGTGGTGACAAATGAGGGTTGAGAAGGTCTCCAGGAAAGTGGAGCTGTTGACCCAAAAGCCATTGAGAAGGACTGTAGCCAGAAGCATTTGGCTGAGCATTCAACTGAGGAACCAAATAGATTAAGGCTTCTCGGATTGCAGAACCTCCTTCTTGAGCAGTTTCTCGCAAGTACAGTTCACAGCTTTTGCGAAGAACAGCGTGGCGTCTTTCGACCAATGCCAATCGTTCATGTGCTTCACCAGGTGCAACGGTGTGTTGGAGAGCAAGTTCATCAGTGAAGCGAGTGAACTCATCTGAAAGCCAACCTCTTCCTTCCTCAGTGATGAGTTGAGCAGGAGGACCAAAAAGAGCAAGCCAACAACGCTGAAGAGCATCGATCAAACAATCACCCCTCTCAGCGTGCAACAAGGTGGCGGCTTGCCATTTGGTGGCTGCATCAATCATGGAGAGGATTGGAAACTTGTTTTGTCCACTCTTGATCCAAAACACGTCACACTGTAGCTG